ATATATATAATACAAAAAGTATTAGTGTAGAGAAAATATTTTTTAAAAAAACTTTATTTCTTGGAAGATGTCAGCGGAACTACGAAAAAGTATGTATATGTGTGTGTGTGTGTGTGTGTGTGTGTGTGTGTGCGCGTGTGTGTGTATGTGTGTGGCGCGCGCGCGCGCATTATAGTAACTTTGCCAATTTTTTTAAAGGAAAACATAATTCAAATATGATCTTTATAATTAAAAATACACTAAAATATATAAATGTATAAATTATGTTCTTAATTCCGTCTATTTAAATTATAATTATAGAATTTATTATCGTACCTTCATTAGCAATTCTGAGTGCATTTAAGTTACCATTAATGTTTACAGAACCTTTTGAAGATATCCTTGGTATGTTTATGTCAGATTCCAAATAGAAAATGTCATCAAGAAAATACGTTCTTATATTTAAAATACGAAGTTTTGATAAACCAGTTATAGTGCTATTTAACAAAATTAATTCTCCATGTACGTTGCCTGAATTCATTACAAATTTGTAGTTTTTGATAGATAACGGATCCACAGATGGAATGTCAAATTCTGGAAGTCCTGTCAAGATAAATAAATTAATACCAATATCCATATTTTTAAGTTATTTGATTAGAATATTTTTATTCTTTTTAATTTTTTTAATTCATAAGATTTTATAAAGAAAGAAAAATGTATTGAAAGACCAATATACAAATAATAATAATTTAGACCTATATAAATAAATCAAATATGCAAAGAAAGAACTGTAATACGATAGCAGCTATTCTTTATGCCTAATTTGTATGTAAATTTTAATTATACACATCTTTTAATTATATGTATAAATTGCGCGCTGTTTACTGATTTGAAACGTAATCGTAAACGCTGTATATCTTTCTGTAAATTTCAATGAATTGTAATTTTTTTTTTTCAATCAAAATGCTAAATATATAGAATCTAATGTAAAAAATGCCAAAAAATTTTTTTAATAAAAATTAATAATGTTAAAAATTCATTTAAAAACGTAAGCAAGTATTTTACGGAATGTTGTACAAAAAAGAGTTTGTTTTGGTCTAAAAATCATACTTTTACCAGAAAAAAAATCTGAACAACAAAAATAGATTGTATTATAAAGAGAAAATCATTTTTTATACACACAATTAAAAATCCCGTAATATCATCTATATAATTTTCGCTCGGATGTAAAAGATCCGTTGAAGTCGAGAATTAAAATGTTCATAGTATCATTATTGAACCAATTTAGTTGCAATACTTGATAATTTCATTTTAATTGCATTTTAAGTCCGATAATAATTAAAAAATGTATTTATAATATATATATGTGGCTGTTTCTTTATTTATTTTATTTATATAATTCGATTCACTATATTAATGTTCATGAGTTATACAAGCTTTTGTTATATTATTGTTATGAAATTATGTGTAATAGTGAACATATTTTATATTCATAAAATATATAAGTTAAAATAAAACTTATAAATTGTTACAAAGTATACCTGTTACAACTCGTGACCATATCTCCTCCATAGTTTGTTTTAAACAAGCTGAATAGTCATCTGAATTCCGCTTGCATGTAACTCTTAGAGCTAAGTAGAAGTGAAAGTATTAGTAAATGAAGTGAAGCATTAGTAAAAATATAGAAATATATGAATTGTTTTAATAAAGACATTTAATTTCATGATTAATTAGGATGTAATTACTTTTTATCAAATATATATGTATATGTTATCAGATGTTTATATTAAGAATATGAAAGAAAAACTTTTTTATTCTTTTATTTTTATTACAGTAAATAATGAGTATATTTATAATGAATATAATAATAGTGCATATTTGCATTATTTAAGAAATAAAAATTATAACTTGCAAATGTATTATTTGCTTATATAGAACAATATATAATAACATCTAATGAAGAAGAAGAATTTTTTATAATAGAACGATTAACGAATATAAAAGGATAATTATTATAAAAATATTCAGATATTTCAGCAAAAATAATCTTTTTGTTTATTGCATTAATATATGTAGGTTAAAGATATACAATAATTTCTCAATAGTTTGATATTATTTTTATGTAATTTAATAGTGATTTTTTACATTCAATAAATGATTTATGTAAATATTGGGAGTATAAATTAATTCGGTTAATTTTCCAAAAGCTGGCTCCGGCTGTTGTGAATGGTTCATAATGACAACTGATTTTGGCGTTTTCAGAGAGGTTAGACATCTATCTGCTAATAATATTCAGTTTATATCGCTTTGAGTTTCATACAAAAACCTTGATTTTTACTGTGTTTGAAATGTAGAATTTTGTGTTAACGAAGCAGCATTTGCGGGAGGTTCTAATTTTTTGCTTTAATTGGAAGAAAAGTGTAGCTGAAGCCCATCGAATGCTTGTCGAAGTTTATGGTGACACTGCTCCAACTGATAAATCATGTAGGGAATGGTTTCGACGTTTCAAAGGATGGAGATTTCAGCGTTGAAGACAAGCCTCGCTCTGGACAATCAAAAAAATTCGAAGACAAAGAATTAGAGGCATTACTCGAAGAAGATCAGAGTCAAACGCAAGAGGAGCTTGCAGAATCATTGGGAGTAACTCAACAAGCCGTTTCTGCACGATTGAGAGCTATGGGAATAATTGAAAAACAAATTGGGTGCCTTATGAACTGAAACCGAGAGACGTTGAAAGGCGATTTTTCACTTGCGAACAGCTGATTCAAAGACAACAAAGAAAAGGTTTTTTGCATCGAATTGTGACTGGAGATGAGAAGTGGATATTCTACGACAACCCCAAAAAGAAAAAATACTACGCTAAGCCCGGTCAATTGTTGCCATCGACCTTAACATCAACACCAAAGCCGAAACATTCATGGTTCGAAGATCATGCTCATGTATCTGGTGGGACCAAAAGGGTGTTGTTTACTATGAGCTGCTGAAACCTGGCGATTCCATTACGAGCGATCGGTATCGGCTACAATTGATTCGTTTGAGCCGTGCATTGCGAGAAAAACGGCCGGAATACGAGCAAAGACATGATAAAGTTATTTTTCTTCATGACAACGCTCGGCCTCATGTCGCTAAAGTCGTAAAAAAATATTTGGAAACGCTCAAATGGAATGTTTTACCGCACCGTATTCTCCGGACATTGCTCCTTCTGATTACTGGTTATTCCGAAGGATAACACGATTTGGCAAGTCATCGGTTCACTTCTTTCGCAGAAATCGAAAATTGGCTCCAAAATTGGATCGCCTCCAAAGACGAGTTTTTTCGAGATGGAATTCGAAAATTGCTTGAGAGATGGGGGAAAAGTAGTAGCCAGCGATGGTCAATACTTTAATTAATCTGTTTATTCATTTTGTTTTGAAATAAATGCATTTTTGAACATAAAAAAATGAACCGAACTAATTTGTACTCCTAATAAAACAATTGATATATATATATATATATATAGATTAACCGTATAATAATCTGCTTAAAAAAAATAAAATAAAGAATGATTAAAAAAGACTTACAAAATTCAGATTCTCCAGCTGAGCACAATGCAAATATTGCACTGAATATACTGAGTACGTAGAGCAACATGTTCTTTGTTTAGTATCCAGCGAATAATGTGATTGATTCTGGAATTTTACATAAATGAAATTGTATTAAGATTGAATGATAATGACTCTGAAATAAAAATGTTAATTTTAGAGATCAGATTATAATTTTTTTTATGCAAATGTTTCTATGCTATTTACATATAATCGTTAGATTTTAGATTATCGATGTGGGTATACTTACACGTGTATAAGAAGAAAAACTATTTAATAATTAACTTGCAAATTTATTTTATAGAATACATTTATTATTGCATGCATATATGAATTAGATAGGAAAAAAAATCATTAACTTCATTATATTCTCGCTACATTATGTAATTAAAATTTTGATTGATGATGTGAATAAGAACTAATTAACTAAGAATAAGTTATAATATTTTCAAAATTTTAGTTAAAAGAAAATATTTTTTCGCAAATATGATATTGATAATCTAGGAATACCAAAAACAGGTGTGAAATAATTTTGCGTTAATAATTAATACTTTTAAGTTATTTGTTTATTTTGCTCACAAACAATAATTGAAAATAAAGGTTAACGTACAGAATTTTAGAAAAATAGCCTATATACCTTTGCATTTATTATATAATGCTAAACATGTTTTTAATTTTATTAACACTTTGCACTATAATGATGTGAAATAAATGTATAAATTTTATGGAAATACTTTTGAGAAGGAAACTTTTGCAAATAATCTATTAGCTATATCAATATAAAACTTGTCCCATTCTTTAGCCATGATTGGTAATACTGTTCGATAAATCGTAGGCCAGTATTCATTTACAAAATTTATGAGAAGATCAGCTGAAAATAAAAGTAAATATATAACAACATTGCAGAAAAAAACAAATTAGGAAAATATATGAATAAAATTACAATATATAAGTGTAATTGTAGTTACAAGATCAATATTTGGCAATGTTTAGTAATTAATATCTTGTTAACTATTGCAAAAATTGCAAAATGGTAGAGGACTTTTTGACTCAGTTCGATTCACTCTACTTGCTCATGATGGGTGACGAAATATGTTAAAATGACTCTGTATAAGATCTATTCCAATAAAATTACTTAAGTCTATTAATAAATCCACAAATATGATTGGCTATAGAAATTGGCTTAAACAAGCTTATAAATTTATCAAAGTTTATAAAAACAAAAATCAACATGATAAAAATAATAACATTATATATAAAGTAAATTGTAATAACTGCGTTGCCTCATACGTTGGCCAAACGAAGAGACAATTATAGATAAGAATTAAAGAACATCACAATAATATAAAATTAGACCAGTCCAAATACTCAGTAATCTTGAAACATATCACGGAAATTAATCATAACTTTAATTGGGAAAAAGTTAGTATTCTTGATTTTAGAAAGAATTATCGTAAAAGAAATATTTCAAAAATAATATTAAAAAACAAAAACCAAAAAAAAAAAATTAAATTTAATGAAAGATACTGAGTTATATTGGATATAATTATATATAATTCTTATTTTAACATATTTGATGATATACGTAAATTGTCACAGTTTTGAACAGACTTGTTTTTATATTCGATTTTATTGATTTATTTTTATTTGACCTACGCATTACATCAATCAATTTTTAAACAACAGTCAACATCTAATTTTTAATGTGCTTGACCTTTGATTGAGAGTTTTAATTACAGTATTTTATATAAATTAACGTAAGTTATTATTTGATTCTGTACCTCTTATTCATGCTAATAATATATTATTTTAATAGATTTACTCCTTCTACAGAATATTATAAAATACTCGTAACTAGTGAATTCTCAAATCGGTTGATACAAGTCTGTGACAAACTGGATTTCAATCAAACTTAGAATTTGGCAAAACTATTTTATCGAAAGACATAATGTAATCTATTGTTGATTGAAGTATTTTTTTCTAAATCTTCTTATCTTATTATAATCTGTCATAATACTTTTTGAATTCTTTATATACTGATACTTCACCACTGATGTTTTTTTTTAAATTTTCATTGTATTTGTTATTTAATATTGATTGTTATTGAATATTTGATTTGTTAATTTAAAATTGTATTTCTGCGTTTTAATACTGAAGAAGGCTTTGTAAGCCGAAATATTTGTGTAGAATATTATTTAGTATTTATATTCTCATGTTAATTATATTAATTTAAAGCTATTCTAAGCTCGAAATAAATCATGACATTATTTAATTTAAAAAAAATATATATAAGTATTCTTACTCTAAGATAGGAAACAAGACCGTTTATATTAAATAACATTACAATCCGAAGCGCCACTACGGTCTAAGTATTAAGATGTTGAACTAATATATATATTATTCAAACGAATGAATTAATTTCAGAAATAATAATTACGTGTCGATATGGTTGTCGACATTAACGCAATTAATCCGAAATGTAATAATCCCCCCAAAATTCCCCAAATTAATCTTAAAAAACTGTAATAAACTTATTGCGAAAAAATATTGCCTCGGCCGGGAGTCGAATCCGGATCTCTTGCATTCCGTGCGAGCGTCCTGAGCCTTTAGACTATTGCGACCTTAGCAATAATTTTTCGCAATAACCGATATATATCGAGAGTAACGCATTATTTCAGCGCGCGTTTATAAACAATTATTTATAATATAATTTCTAACCGTACATATGTACAAATTATGTACAAATTATTATTATATATTATTATTAGTATTTAATTAATTATTTAAAATAATTAAACTGATAAATATTTAGTTAGAATAATTAATTAAATACTAATAATTCATAATTTATACATACGTATCGTTAAAAATAATATTAAGAATAATAAAGATATATGTAACTTGTAAATTAAAATATCTGTATATTTTAGAAATTAAATTAAATTGTTGATATGTGTTAAGTCAGATAATTTTTTTTTCAGAAGTCTTTTATGTTGAAAACATAGTTAAGTAAGGAGGTATATAATACTTATTGTTAAATTAGATATGAGTCTTTATTTAAGTAATTAAATAACGAATACATGTATATTTGAATCAATACTTACAGAACTCTTTGGTGCTTTCAGATAAATCTTTATAATATATTTTAAACTTTCCAATTAACGGGGTGATATGGAATTGTTCAACAATCCATGTATCGTTTACTACATGTCCTGTTATCTCCCATAGTGCTCTGACATCATTCAAGGTTATATTAAAATTACCTATCATATAAATTATTTTAATGATGGAAATAGAAAGTATTTGTATCCATATTTCAACAATAATTTAAAAATAATTAAAAATATATAACAATATTAAAATATAACAATAATTTAAAAAAGTCATGATTATTTCTTAAAAAATACTCTACATAGGGAGACCGGGGCTAATAGACTCATTTTTCAGTTTCGAATTTTTACAGACAAAATTAAGAGACTTATCGAAAAAAGAATTCTACACAGTTACATTTGATTACCTAATAATAAGAAGAAACTGATAACTGATATGAAAAAAATGCATTTTTCTAATGCATTCCATCCGATTCAACTATAAGCCCCGGGATCAGGGATAATTCGACTAAGATTATTAAAATAAAGATTAATGTATTTTTAGCTACATCTTTGGCTACATATTAATAAAACTTTTTTATAAAAATATATTTTAAACACAAACATTCCAAAATAAATTATATTTCTTTGTTTATGTAAATTATAAAACTTATTATCTTACCTTCATTAACAATTCTGAATATACTTAAAGAACCATTTATTTTCGCAGCACCTTTTAGAAATAGTTTTGGCATTTGTACACCAATCTCCAAACGAAAAACATCATGAGAGAGAAACTGCGTCCTTGCATTAAAAATACGAGCTTTTGATAAACCGATGGCAGTGACATTTGACATAATTAATTCTCCTCGTAGCTCGCCAGAATTAAGCATAACTTTACCGTATTCGTAAAATAATGGGTCCATAGGTGGAAAGTCAAATTCTGGAAGCCCTATCAAAATAATAAAATTAATATTAATATTTGTATCTTGAACTAATTTAGTTAAAAAGATTTATATTCCTTATTTAAAAAAAAAATGTAAGACTTTTAACTCTTTTGAATCAAAATGATTCAAGCATCATCTTTCATGCTAGATTTCAGAATCTTCCTGATATCGGAAGGATGCACATCTACCATCGACTAGAGTTCGAAGCTTCAATTATCGATAGAGATGCTTAGCTTTTTAATCGGACCGTTAGTATGCGTCTAATTATTCACGCAAAAAACGTTTTTTTCTCGAGTTAAAATCAGCAAGTATGACCAATGCATTATTTTTATTAAAAGATTTATGATTTATATTTTTGCATTAAATTGCAAAAATAAGGAAATTGTAAATTGTGTCTTTCAAGTAAGGATAAAAAAAAACAATGAGTAAAGAATGTCCATCGTGTCTACGATTCATGTGTAATAAATATTCTCTAAATCTGAATCAGTGGATAATCTACTGAAATGGCATACTGCATTATCAACATATTATATTAGCACATTTGATATGGGACAATCAGTAAAATTCAATTATAAAAGAAAAGAAATTTGAGCATTATATATTTAAAATACTGATATTTGCACGTTCTAGCACATTGTAATTCCAATCTTATAATACTGTACATATACGTTGAATGCGCTACACTGAAGTAAGGTTCGCTATAGGTTAGGAACAGAAGTTTGCTTCTATTACATGTAAGCAAATTTACATGGAAGCAAATTTCTGTTATTTTTTTAATAGTGTATGTTAATTAAATAAATAAATCAAAACGTAAAATGAATAAATCAAATAAATAAAAAAAAAGATTAATATGGTTAATCTTGGTCAATTAAGAGAGACCTTGGTAAATCAAATAAGCAAAGAAAAGATTAATATGATTAATCTTAGTAATAATAATAATAATAATAATATATATTTGTTTATTTATATGTCAACTCTAAATACATTTTTTTATATGTATACATTGCGCGCCACTTATTGTAGGATTTGTAACGTTAAAATAGTAAGTTTTATTTTTTTAATTGCTTTAAAAAAGACTTAAAATTTTATGAATTTATGTAAATCATTATTCATATTGATTT